TATATATATATATATCTGTGTGTGTGTGTGTGTGTTAGTGTGCGAACACAAAAACAGGCAATTATGACAATTAACCACATTTTCCACCCAAATTCTAATGACTATATTGTGAAAATGACATTTTTGTCATTAATAATTTCAATGAATAATTAAATAATTTATTACATTTAAATAAAACATAATAAAATAGTTAGAATGTTACAGTATAGTATTAGTAATTCTTTTAATGTGGCTGATTTTTAACTTTTAACAATTATTAAAAATTTATTGTGATACTGTAAATCAGTTTTCATTATGAGAATTTTGAAAATGAAAAAATAATTAAGGTTAATTCTTTCCCCACCAGCATTTTTTTTTTATGTCTGTTTGTTTGTTTGTTTTTGCCAGCCACCGCCAGCATTTTTTTATCATTTTCACAAAAGTTTAATGGCCCCCAGAATACTTTTTGTATGAATATCTGAATATGCAATATGCCAAAACAAATAACAGAGCTCCTGCTTTTAAACAAACAAAAAAAAAATTTATTCTAGCTTCAAACAATCTTTTTAAATTTTTTTTTATCAACACTTGAATGTGGGTAAGTTTAATTAAAAAAGCAACATTTTGAACAAAAAGCTAAAAAAAATCCCGTTTTTGTAAAAGACTACATCTGAACAATCTGAATTTAGAATGATGATCAAAACAGATGTAGTAGATCACTTCCAGAAACACATCCAAAGCTTGCAAGGTCCTATCAGTTTTTATTTATATGCTTGATGATTGTGTTATTTTACATATGCCTCTGCTTACATATGCTATCGCTTGTTTCTGCTTCTTCTTCGCTGCATTTTGCAACCTTTTTTTATTTTTTTTTTTCCCATTTAAGTAAAACAGTGCCTCATGCATTCTATGCTATGTTGTCTATTCACTGAGACTGGACAGAGAACCATGAATTTGTCAGGATTTAGGACCCAGCGAAAGAGAAATTAGAAGCCAGAGAGGGAGAAGCTCTCTGTGGGAAACCAGCACCTGAGTGAGGTGATGTAACAGGTGCATTCATCAGCAAGTCCACAAAAAGAGAGCAGCTTCGTTTCACGCTAGAATCATGTGTCTTTAAGATCATTATCCTTTGTTTTTCCTTTGTATGGCACTTTCAACTCCCTACAGTCCACACCCACCTCCATGCACCCTTGATCCACGTCTCTTCCACACCCTAACGAGAAGGATGGGTTTATACCTGCAACATATACGCCACAGACTTCATTTGGAGGTTTTTGTTCCTTTGGAGGGAAGACCACAAGCACAAGCCATCTGATCCTTCTGATTTTGCAACTGGATTTTCTCGACATCATACCAAGTGGTGTTTTGCCCATGTAAATGAGTTCTGCACCGTCATTGCTCCCAGCATCTGCGTTGACCACGCCTCATTGTTGCCCGTGTGCATATGTGTACTTAGTCACACTTTCCTCTTTATCTCCTGCAAACAAAAGGAAAAGACAGGCAGGAGAGCAGATCAATGAGGTATTTCATCCAAAATGAGCGCTGGAGTGGGTGAATAAAGACGTTTAGCCTGCTTAATTCTTTCCCCACCAGCATTTTTTTTTTATGTCTGTTTGTTTGTTTGTTTTTGCCAGCCACCGCCAGCATTTTTTTATCATTTTCACAAAAGTTTAATGGCCCCCAGAATACTTTTTGTATGAATATCTGAATATGCAATATGCCAAAACAAATAACAGAGCTCCTGCTTTTAAACAAACAAAAAAAAAATTTATTCTAGCTTCAAACAATCTTTTTAAAAAAATTTTTATCAACACTTGAATGTGGGTAAGTTTAATTAAAAAAGCAACATTTTGAACAAAAAGCTAAAAAAATCCCGTTTTTGTAAAAGACTACATCTGAACAATCTGAATTTAGAATGATGATCAAAACAGATGTAGTAGATCACTTCCAGAAACACATCCAAAGCTTGCAAGGTCCTATCAGTTTTTATTTATATGCTTGATGATTGTGTTATTTTACATATGCCTCTGCTTACATATGCTATCGCTTGTTTCTGCTTCTTCTTCGCTGCATTTTGCAACCTTTTTTTATTTTTTTTTTTCCCATTTAAGTAAAACAGTGCCTCATGCATTCTATGCTATGTTGTCTATTCACTGAGACTGGACAGAGAACCATGAATTTGTCAGGATTTAGGACCCAGCGAAAGAGAAATTAGAAGCCAGAGAGGGAGAAGCTCTCTGTGGGAAACCAGCACCTGAGTGAGGTGATGTAACAGGTGCATTCATCAGCAAGTCCACAAAAAGAGAGCAGCTTCGTTTCACGCTAGAATCATGTGTCTTTAAGATCATTATCCTTTGTTTTTCCTTTGTATGGCACTTTCAACTCCCTACAGTCCACACCCACCTCCATGCACCCTTGATCCACGTCTCTTCCACACCCTAACGAGAAGGATGGGTTTATACCTGCAACATATACGCCACAGACTTCATTTGGAGGTTTTTGTTCCTTTGGAGGGAAGACCACAAGCACAAGCCATCTGATCCTTCTGATTTTGCAACTGGATTTTCTCGACATCATACCAAGTGGTGTTTTGCCCATGTAAATGAGTTCTGCACCGTCATTGCTCCCAGCATCTGCGTTGACCACGCCTCATTGTTGCCCGTGTGCATATGTGTACTTAGTCACACTTTCCTCTTTATCTCCTGCAAACAAAAGGAAAAGACAGGCAGGAGAGCAGATCAATGAGGTATTTCATCCAAAATGAGCGCTGGAGTGGGTGAATAAAGACGTTTAGCCTGCCATTCAGCCTCAAAAGTGATATTTTTATCCTCACCGTCTCCAGTCTTGCTGGTTTCTAGAAGATTCTGCCTTTGGGATGTCGAGTGGATGTGTTTTATGAGACGGCTGGGAGGGAGGAGACTATGTAGCAAGGACAGGAAGCCTTGTTGCCGTATCTCCATATCAGACCTGGACACCAGATGCCACACACACACACACACACACACACACAGAGACCGTGAAGCTGTGCACAGATTACTTCTTCCACCCGTGATCCCAGCCGTTTCCAATCACATGTGCAAGAAGACGAAATGCAAAGAGGTTGTTGCTCTTTGAAATGGTGAATTTAAAGAGGATCAAGTCGCCGGGTAATAAGCTTACAGGTTGATGGAATTCACAGGCACCTGCTTGCGTCGAAAGCACAAGCCGTACGAACTTCCTCCTTGGCGGATTACGAAACGAATTCCAAATTTCACGTCCTCTTGATATTGAAAGAGGACTTAATCGAAAGGAGACGTCCTTTGAGAGGGGAAACAGCTTTGGAGAACTCCGACCATCCAGAGTCTTCGGATGTTTGCGTTCGGATGCTTATTCAACCAAGGCTTAATTTCTCTTGGGAGGCCTGATGAGAAGATAAAGATAAAACGAGAGCCACCAGGGGAGTTAGAAGACCCCGTTGTGGTTTGTCTGACAAACCCAAATTTCCCCTGCCTCTTCAACCTTTTCCGCTTGTCTCGCTCTTCATATTTCCAGCGGTAACCACTGCTACCCATGAGACCGTGGCGATAAGAGCCGTCACAACCTTGCAATTCATAGAGCTTTGTCTCTTTGGAGGAACTGAGCAGGATACACGATCCTTTAAAGACAAAACCAGAGAAAGAGAGAGAGAGTGTGTTCCTCTATGGTCCATCCCCCCTGCATTTATTTCCCGCCTCAAGGGGCCGGCTCTCATCCGTAAAGGAACTTGTCTACTGGTCCCGGTCTCGGCAGACTTGTCAGCTCTCTCCTCCTCCCTCCCTCCCCCGTTTCCCGAAGCTCACCTGTCTCGCTCGGTGCTCCTCGCTGAAACTTTGCCAAGATGATGCAAGAAGTGTCGATAACGGTGGCTTACGACGCTCATGTTATTAATCAGATCAACGAGGAGGATTTCTTCGCCAGTCTGGTGGCTGATTCCAAACCTAAACCGGTGGTAAGTCTCAGACAAACGGCTGTTTTTACCTTCAGGAATTGACAAGAACATTGTCTAGTCTTGTTGTAGAACCGTTTTCCTTTGAGCTCGTTCGTTTGATTCTATCTCGGGCTGTGAGAAATGTCCTGTAATGAAATTACAAGGCTGTACAATTTTCCCCATTATGTTCTTATTCCAAGGAATGCCAACTTGAAGCTGAAAATAATGTGTGTGTGATGAACATGGTGTTCAGGAGCAAGCGATTGGCTGTCAACCTAATGCAATTTTGCATGTTATGACTCTTTTTCCCCTCAAGTAGATGTTTTGAATACTCAGATGAGCCTAGTAACCTGAATATTCAAACGCACTGGTTTAACAAATCCGATGAATCAAAATGAAGCTTTGCTTTTGTAACAAGAAGACCTTGGTGTAAAAGAGTTGTGGCAATTTTTTAATCACTCATCCTTCTGATATTGTGACGTGTTTTAGTTTGTGTATATTCACGTTTGTAGGAAACAACGTGTGCTGTTAATGTCAACGTGAATGGAAAGATCAGCTACTCATTCATACCCGTGTAGGTGTTTTGTGTTTATACAAAAACGTCATTTACACCAACCACGTTTGTTGAGGCGAAGCCTACTGAATTATCTTTCCATGTTAACTGTGAGTGTTAAACCAAATGAACGTTGTGCTGAGAGCTTGACTGCCATGTCGGTTGTGCCATATCAACATGTCATTTTGTGGTCTATGGTTACACAGCACATCCGGACTAAGCGTTCTTTTAACATCTCTTCATCTAATGATGCCTGGCCTCTTATCTGCGCCGCTGACTGTCAGATTAATAGACTGATGCTTGTTCCATTTACTCCTCCTTTTTTGTGTAAAAAATCTCTAAGCCTGTCCTTAAGTATTAAACTTTGGCGTATTTAAAATTTTCCGCGATGCGGAAAACGCTGACGGAATCAGGTCATTAAAATGGAATTTACTGTATAACACAGACTTTCACGGAATTTGCCAAATTTTCGATGAATAAATCAAAAGTAGGTCAGTAAAGCTAAATCAAAACACAATATGGATTAGTGTCTGTGAATATTAAACCGCAAATATACTATTTAAATATGAATGCTGCATGTTCTGAGTGAATGAATGGCGCAGAAGCGCAGTTTCATTTAATCTGAAGCGTGCGTGATGCTCGCAGTGTTTTCAGCCTCAGCCACCTCAATATACATGAACACATGAACATAATCTCTAGAACTGCTCTGAGAGTCATTTCATGAGCCATTTTACCGTTTCTTTTGAGAAAACTATCGTCATATCATATCCACCTTTTTCTTCAATGTGGAAGTAAGCCTATGGGCAAGACTTCCGGTTCATTAGCCGCTAGAGGGAAATAACGAGAAGAATAACAACGTGCAGTAAACGATAAAACTGTTTGCACTACAAACCAGTGTGCTCATAATTAAGATAATACACTAAAATAATATGGTAAGACACACCAATTTTTAATATCAAGCAGCAAAACGAGCTGTTTTGTACAACTAAATATAGCTGGACACGGATGAGACCGGAAGCTAGACCCATAGAATTTACAAATGGCCGTGCCCGCTCTGACAGGAAGAAAAAGGTGGATACAAACAGAAACTTAAAGGTCTTCACAGCAACCCATCAAAATAAAAGTTCGGTTTAACTTGAAGAAACTGTGACAGAAATATATTACTTAATGTACTGATAGTAGTACTGACAATAATAAAATTATTAAAACATCATTTTTTTAAGGAATATTTACCAGAAAAAATGTAAATATAAAACAGTATTTCTGGGAAAAAAATGGTATAAAATCAATTCGTTAGAGATGCTTTTGATTTCTAAAATTTAATGAAACCATTAAAATTTAATCCAGAAAATGTATGGAAAACATCGAAATTGGTTAAAGAAAATAAAACTGCATTTGAGAAAAGAATTAAACATTTCATAGGGCCTTAACAATGTAATATTTGTTAAACTTTTAATAAAATGCTGTTAAATTGTATAAAGTTTATGATGTTTTTTTTTATTAATAAGATTAAATTTAACCATTAAAACAGAGTCTCGAAAAATTTAAAAGGAAAAAACAGAATCCAGAATAATTAAATCGGAAAAAAATTAAACGTAATTCATCTGGCAGACGATGGTGATTGTCTGATGAGCAGCCAAATGGACCACCTAGCAACTGTATTCCATCCTTTATCTATTTTTTCTGTCTTTTTTCTTTCCCTGTCCTGATATTATCAACCGTTTCCTTCTCCTTCTCGTTCACTGTGTTCTAAAGCGTTTGTATCATGTTCACATTCCTCGAACTGCACAACAGACACTTTGTGCGGCAGTCGAAAGGCAAAGGTGGCTGCTTGAAGCCTTTTTTTTTTTTTTAGAGAAGTCCGCTTACCCAAGCACAAGCTTTTGCCTTGTCATCGTTACAACCGCTTTCGCAAAAACAAGCCTCCAGTGCCATTGAGACCTCAGTGATAGCACAAGTGGTGTGACAGTTTCTCGCTCCGGTGACCCTCATCCTGAGGTCAGAGGTCGAACACACAGAATGAAACTCAACAATGAGCTGTTGTTCAGAAGATCTGATGCAGTTAAGGTCTTTTTGAGACATGACATGACTCTCAAGTGAGAACACTGTTGATATGCTTCACTTTTCGCAAGCATGTTGTTGAAACCCCAAACAGCGATTTGTTTTACTTCCAAACGTTGAGTTGGTTGGGAATAAATATTTCTGCTTTGTGTGTGAGCAGTTTCAAATTGAGACGAAGAAGCAAATTCTGAAAGGCTTTATGAGGACTGATCCCAGACCTGCTGAATGAAGACTGTAATAAACAAAGTCTCTTGCAGTAAAGCCGGATGAAGAGATCCCCTCAGGACTGGCTTGACTGAGCGCACTCCACCCTCAGAGACTCCACGCTCACTCCGGCTGTGCTGCTATAGCAATGGACACGAGCGCTGCACTTTCAAAGGCTCCTTGAGAGTTTTGGCTTTTGCTTTTTTGTTGTTGTTGAGGACGTTTAGGAAGGGCTTGTGTCAGTTTTGTTTTTGATGTTTATAGTGCTGCAGAGTGTTGTTTGTTGATTCTCTTACCAAAAATGTGGAAAAACTGTGTGTGTGTTTTTGTATTTATCATTACTTTTTTTTTTTTTACTCAATAAATTAGTTATATTGTAATGTTACAGTGTAGTATTTGCATGGATTTTAATTTGTTGATTTTAACTTTTAAAAATTACTTAAATTTTTTGGTATACTGCAAATCCTTTTTTTTTTTTTTTTATAAGAATTTTTAAAATGTATATTAACAAAAAATAATGTAAAAGTAATATTAAAATGATAATATATTACATAATATGATATTTTAAGAAGTGTTCTACCCTATTGATACACGTAATAATATATATGATTTGTACTTTTAACTTTAATAGTCTTCTTATACATTATATTACATTATTATTTAGTATATTTTATACTATATAATAATATAATTCTATGTTTATATAATTTTATATTCATAGTCCTATTTCAAAATTTACATTTGTAACTTCTTACATTGGAATATAATTGTAATATAAATCATTATTTTGTGTACATGTATAAAAATGTTTGATTTTGTTTAGTTTTTTACATATTGTGAATATTATAATTGTAATATGTTGTAATGTTCTAACTGTAAATATAAATCTTAATACATTTAACATGTTTTATACTATATAATACTAATTAGATAATTCCAGTTTTATACAATTTTATGTTCAAAAGTGTACATTTGTAAATAATTATTTTGTATATAACTTCATTAAATATACGTTTTAATACATTTTTACGTAAATTTTTATGCATTTTTGTCATTTGTAAAATTTATAATATATGTAATGGATAATTTTGTATATAATATCAGAATGAAATGTTCAATTTACTTTGAAAAAAATTAAATAAAATATTTGCCCTTGGTGTTTTGAGGAGGGGGTGCTTTAGATGTTTGTTTGTTTTACAGTATTTATGAAGCATAATAACTTTACATTCTTGTTATACTGGTGTACATTTTTTCAAACCTGATGAAAAATTCTCTGATTTCCTGTTTTCCTCAGGTGCCAACAAAGAAGCTGAAGAAGTTTGAGAAGGAGTATCAGTCTCTGAGAGAGAGCCAGCTGCAGCAGGAAGACCCTATAGACCGATATCAGGTAAGCAAGAACCTGGTTAAGCTCCACCTCCTCTGATCCTCATCCTCACCTCCTACATTCATCTTCATCTCACGCCGTCTCAGTTCAGGACTGTGTAACGGGCCGCACTGGAAACCACAGACTCTGTACGGCACAGGGAAAGAGCCAAACGCTCGCTCGCATTGTAGATGCTTGTTTTGTGCGCCTGTTATTTTATACAAATATTTTAATTTATTTTTTCAGCTTTTTATGAAGGAAAAGTGATGTTTTTGTTTTTGTGTTTAGTTTACGTGCCTTGTTTATTTTATTATTTTTTTTAATGCAAAAAGTCTTCGCATATTTGAGTCTCGTGTTTACATTAACTGAAATGTTTTTATTTTTTGTTCGCATTTATTGAATGTATTATAGTTTTTATATTTTGAGGTTTATGTTGTTCATATGAAAAAAATAAAATAAAATGTGTAATCCTAAACAATCTTTGACATTTGAATGGAAATACAAAGCATCGTGCAATGTTGAAGAGCTAAGCATACTATTAAAGGAAGCTCCATTAATGCAAAAAGTGTTCGCATATTTGAGTCTCGTGTTTACATTAACTGAAATGTTTTTATTTTTTGTTCGCATTTATTGAATGTATTATAGTTTTTATATTTTGAGGTTTATGTTGTTCATATGAAAAAAATAAAATAAAATGTGTATTCCTAAACAATCTTTGACATTTGAATGGAAATACAAAGCATCGTGCAATGTTGAAGAGCTAAGCATACTATTAAAGGAAGCTCCATTACTCGGTGATTTCCTTGCTGTCACTTCCTGTTTACCCTCTCCCTCACTCAACCGACTAACCAATGAGATTCCCTCACTCACCCGTTTAACCAATGAGCTGTGGCGGGGGGTGGCGCATGGACAGGTGGTGGGGGAGGCCTCTGCGGTTCTTGTTCTAGTGTTGTGTTGACTGTGGTTGGGTCTTCGGTGCAGGTAAGCCTTCAGCCCACCAGCGCTCATCAGCTACTAACCTCTGCCTGCATGTGTGTGTGTTTCGTGTGAAATGATCGAGCCTTTCCATGTTACAGCAACTGCTGTGCACAACCTAACCAGCGATGTGTGTTTGTAAATGGAAGTCAGATGACAGCTTTCCTCTTCCTGATAAGGAAATGTGTGTCATGTGAGGCTCCCTGTGACAACGGCTACTCTCTAATCAGGCAACGCAGAGTCACTGTTGTTTCTCAAGACTGGATGTGAAATACTGGTCTTAGATCAGCATGTGATCTCCAAGTGTCTGTACATATGGCTCCTAGTCGCCTGTAGTGTCATTTTTTGTTGTAAATGTGCAGCTTTTTTGGTGTTTCCTGCTTTTATTTACAGGCTGGAGTGGGCTGTCTGGTAAATTATGAATTGTGGGGAATATGTTTTTTTATATAATTCAAATTAAATATTTTTTTGAATATTTCATATACAAATATTCATGATTTCATCCCATTTCTGCAAAATTCTGCAGGTGCAGACAGCATATTTTTGTGACTATTATTTTTGTAATTAATTCTTAATATTTTCTCTGTATTATTATTATCATAATCTTTTATGTTATAAACGTTTTACTAGTATATTTATTTATTATTTTTTTATAATATTAGATTATCTATTTTTATTACTGTTATAACCTTTATTTTGGGACATTTTTAACCATTTTTATCTTTCTTTATTTGCTATTAATTTAACTTATTACCTATCTGTAGTTTTTATTATTCTGACAATCATTTATTATTTTGTTTATTTATTTGTAGTATTGTTAGCTTTATTTTTCTGCTGTTATCTATAATAATATATAATAATTTGTCACCAATCTATTTTTTAAATTTAAAACTTTCTGTAAAATACTTTCTAATTATAAATAGATACTAAAATTAGATAATAAGATAAAGATAATAAAGATAATAATAGAAAATAAAGATAACAATAGAAAATAGCAAAAATAGTTAAAGATTGTAATTATCTTTAACTATTTTTGCTATTTTCTATTATCTTTATTTTCTATTATTATCTTAATTTTAGTATCTATTTATAATTAGAAAGTATTTTACAAATTTATATATTTTTATTTACTTTTATTACCACTCTCTATTTCCTATTATTATAATAATTTATTACCTATATATTTTTTTATTATTACAATCTTTTATTATATTTACTATTTTCTATTATTTTTATTTGTTATTATTATCTTAATTTATTTTCTATTTATAATTAGAAAATATTTGACAATTGTATATATTTTAATTTACTATTATTACCGTTCTCTATTTCCTATATTATATTAATTTATTAATATAATATATTATTCCTATATAAAACAATTTTTCCCATTATTATCTTAAGTTATTTTATATATATATATATATAAACTTAAATTAATTTATTAATTTATTAATTAACTTTAAAGTAATTTATATAATTTTATTTGTTTTTATCATTTCTTTCTTTGTACATTTTTTTTAATACTCTCAGTGCTGACACACACAAAAAAGTCACACCTGGTTAGTACACAGTGTAAGTGACAGAAAATATAAAACATTTAATGAAATAATTTTTTTTTGACATTTTAGTTTTTGCTTTTATTTGTGTTGCGAAATGGTGCGGTTTACACTATCATCTAGACATTTGTTTTGCTTACATGTGAGTGCTTGGGAAATTTGAGTCTGTAGCTTGTGCAAAGCTAGCCTTGCAGTCTTTTCAGTCTCTGTCTGTAAATCTGCACGATGTCCCCACCATAAGGTCATAAATGATGTCTATGTGTCCCTGCAGAGAGAAAACCGGCGGTTGCAGGAGGCCAGCATGCGTCTGGAGCAGGAGAACGATGATCTCGCCCATGAACTGGTGACCAGCAAGATAGCGCTGAGGAACGACCTGGACCAGGTATTTCCACACTAGTTAACACATTCAGCTTTTGTTTCAATCTTGTGTGTTGATAAGCATTGCGTTTTCAGGCTGAGGACAAAGCTGATGTTTTAAACAAAGAACTGCTCAACACTAAACAACGCCTGGTGGAGACCGAGGAGGAGAAGAGAAGACAAGAGGAGGAGACGGCACAGGTACAAGGACTGAGGACTCAAAATGTCTCTGACTCGCAAATCAATTTCACTGCTACGGACGTGTACAATAACGTTTTTCTTTTCAGCTGAAGGAAGTGTTCAGAAGAGAGCTGGAGAAAGCCGAATTAGAGATCAAAAAGACCACAGCCATCATAGCAGAGTATAAACAGGTATGTCTAAGTATCCCACATAAATCATAAGTCTCATAATCCTCGAAATTCACCCCACGTTTACTTCAGGATGGGATTATTACACTGTAAAAAAAAAAAAAAAAAAAATGGGTATATATATATAATTTTTTTAAAAAGTTGTATATAAAACAAATTCTAATTTAATTTCAATTATACAATACAATTTTACAATAAAATACTATTTCAGTTTTTCTAATTTTACATTTAATTCAGTGTATTTCTGTTTGTAATTATTTGTGAATTTTATTTGCAATTTTTGAGTGAAAATTTTTTCTACACCATTTCAGTGTATAGTTAACTAAAATTAAACAATGAAAAATGTTACTTGAAATAAAGTAACTTAATTGTAGTTCTGTGACTTTATACTCAAAATTTAGATTTTATTTTTAAAATATGACTACTATGATCTTGTAATGTTATGAATTTATTCTTGCGATTTTGACTAACCGGTGATGTTACATTAAATCTTAATGTCATCTGGCTTTGGATAATTTAGCTTTAATCTTGTCATTTTTCTTAATTTTTTTTTATATTTTATTTTTGTCATTTTGATCAAATAAATGATCAAATAAAATTATCAAATGATCAAATAAAATCATCAAATTATTAAATACAATTTTAAAAACTTATTTTATTTCAGCTAGTTTCCAAGTAAACATTTCTCATTTTCATTTAGTTTTAACAATGTTCTAAAATAACTTAAAAGAAACTGAAATAATAATTTAAAACTATATGAAGATATTACTACGGAGACATTACACATGACATGCGGGCGGGGGGGGGTAATTGTGTGCACAATTTACTCATTTGTTCGCTTGTTTTAAGTAAATAGTGTGCTGAATATAATAATAATGCGCTCATTTTAAGTAAATTATGCGCACAAAATAATAATTGTCCACATTCTCATAAACCTTTTGGCCTAATGGGAGTCGGACTTGTAACCAGAAGGTTGCGGGTTCGAGTCTCAGGTCCGGCAGGAATTGTCAGTGGGGAGAGTGAATAACAAGTGCTCTCTTCCACCTTCAATACCATGACTGAGGTGAGACCCTTGAGCAAGGCACCATTCACTACTGGATGGGTTAAACTTGGATAGGTTCACGTGGATGGGTTAAATGCAGAGCACAAATTCTGAGTATGGGTCACCACACTTGGCCACACGTCACTTCACTTTAATTGGGTGTTATTTTTAGTTGTGAATGAGTTATAGAGACATTCTCAAAAGCCTTGCAGCGTTGCGTGGAGTCATTTAAGGTGAGAGGCATCTACATCGCTTTATGAGAATGCAGACAAGAAGTAATACAAATTATTTCAGGCACATGATTTACTTAAAACAAGGGAACTAATTAGTAAATTGTGCGCATGATTTAGTAAACCGAGGGAAAGAATTAGTAAATCATAAACCAAGGGAACAAATTAGTCAATTGTAAACCAAGAGAACGAATTAGTAAATGGTGCGCACATTTTAGTAAACCGAGGGAAAGAATTAGTAAATCGTAAAACAAGGGAACAAATTAGTAAATCGTGAGCAGGATTTAGTAAACCAAGGGAACGAATTGAATTGTGAGCACGATTTTCTACTTATTTTTCGCAGCATGTCATTTGCGGGGCTCTGTATATCATAAAAAAGAAAAACAACAAAATTACTAAAACCAACTAAAAAATATAAACTAATTTAAACTAATAAAATCTATAATAATATCTGATACTAATGTAACTGCTTCAGAGTCTTATACCTTTTTTGAGTATTTATTGTGAAGAATAGAGTATAAGGTCTGAAATGTAATTTTCTGTTTGCATTAGATATGTTCCCAGTTAAGTACGAGGATGGAGAAACAGCAGGAGTCCACAAAAGAGGAACTGGATATAGTTAAAGTGAGTAAATAATCTCTGCATACTTTTATATGGCACGTTGAGCAGTGACGATCAGCATATGTTGTTGCTGTTCTTCCAGGCTAAAGTGATGGCGTGTGAGCGCTGTAGGGAAGTGTTCAGCAAAGACGGACCCCTGCAGATCCCGGCGGTTAGTCAGGACAACCGGGACACGGATCTGGACGAGGAAAAGGACTCGCTAAAGGCTCAGCTCCGAGAGCTAGAACTGGAGCTGGCGCAAACCAAACTCCAGCTGGTGGAGGCCAAGTGCAAGATCCAGGTCAGACGTCACGGCACATAAAACACCATAGTGCTGGAGATTTACAGATGCTACTCAGCTAATTATCAGCTCATCAGCAGCAGGTTGAAACCAACAACCATTTGTGAAAGTTTACACTTACTAGTATATTCTGCGCTTTTTAAGCTTATAGTTAGGTCAGTGTTAAAGGGAAATTTGTGACTAGCTACTAGTAATTTGCTCTTAAACACTGACTGATATTAGTTTACAATGAACATATTTGAAATCAGTGTTTTATAGATATTCTGTATCCTAGTACATTTTAGTGCCACATTAAAGGGTTAGTTCACCCAAAAATGAAAATTAGCCAATAAATTACTCACCCTCAAGTCATCCTAGGTGTATATGACTTTCTTCTTTCAGACGAATCCAGTCGGAGTTATATAAAAAATTGTCTTTGATCTTTCCAGCTGTTTCATGGCACTCAGCGGGTGTTGCATGCATCAGTCCATAAGAAGTTAAATAAAAAGCTCCCATCCATTAAAAAAAAGTCTCACACGGCTCCGGGGGGGTGAACAAAGGCCTTCTGTAGCGAATCGATGCGTTTTTGTAAGAAAAATATCCATATTCAAAACGTAATAATCACTTTAACCCTTTCGCACGTGAGTTTAAAATATTCTAACTGAGCCCCCAGCGTGAGTTTTTTTTAGGCGAGCTTGCGCTCACTGTTGTACACTGGAGACAGTTCCGGGGGAATGAAGTATGAGGTCAGCGCTGCGCATGCGCCGGTGAGTCTCGTGAAAACCAACGTTTGTTAACAGGAGCAAAGGAAGCAAAGTTTCCTTACTTTAGCAAAGGAGTACCAGTCTCCTATTTCCTTATATCGAAATCCTCTGACATTCTTCTTTACAAATCTTCATTTTGTACTTCTAATAAGTGACCGTTGTTTTGTTTTGTTCTCCCCTGCGCTTCCGCATGCTTCACGTCTGAGCAGCGCATGCACAAAGCTGACCTCATACGTCATTCCCCCGGAACTGCTTCGTGTACAACTGTTGGCGCAAGCTAGATTAAAGTGATGATTACATTTTAAATATGGTTATTTTTCTTACAAAAACGCATCGATTCGCTACAGAAGGCCTTTGTTCACTCCCCGGAGCCGTGTGAGACACTTTTTTTTTTTTTATGGATGGGCGCTTTTTATTTAACTTGTTTTGGACTGAAGCATGCAACACCCGCTGAGTGCCATGAAACAGCTTGAAAGATCAAAGACAATTTTTAATATAACTCCGACTGGATTCGTCTGAAAGAAGAAAGTTATATACACCTAGGATGACTTGAGGGTGAGTAATTTATGGGCTAATTTTCATTTTTGGGTGAAATAACCCTTTAACATTATAAGAATACAGTCATAACATTACGAGAATAGTTAAAACTATTTGTAACATTTGGTGTTTCCACTGCATTGTTTTGATACTGCTTTTCTTTATGACTCCTCAGAATATTCCAATTTTATAATTCTGTGACTATACTCGAAATTAAAATTTTAAAAATATTGATTTTTCAAAATTACTCCTATAATCTTGCGGTGTTACGACTATTATTTTTTATTTATCTTGTAATGTTACAATTTTATTAATGTAAATTGATTTAAATTTCATGTTATGACTGTTCACATACTTTTGCTTTAATCTTATAATTGTAACTTTATTTGTAATTTTAACTTAGATCTCATAATGTTATAATTTTGTTCACATACTTTTGCTTATATCTCATACTTTGGGCTATTCTCATAATTTTGACAAATTTGTTACAAATTGATTCATGTATTTCTGCTTTGATCTTAAACTTTTGACTTTATTTGGATAATTGACTTTAACGTCCTAATGTTATAACTTTATGTAATTTTGACATATGAATGTTATGACTGTTCACATAATTTTGACTTTGTGTAATTTTGACTTAAATCTCAGTGTTACGCCTATTCACATACTTCTGCTTTCATCGTGAAATGTTTACTTAAGTCATTTTGACTCATGTTACAACTTGATTAGCATAATTTTGTCTTAAATCTCAAAATGTTGTTCATGAAATTTTAACATTTTGTCATTTTAACATAATTCTCAGAATGCTGTAACTTTGTTCATGTATTTTTGCTTTAATTCCATAATTTTGACTTTCTTTACGCAATTTTTATTTAAATCTCAATAGGTTATGACTGTTCACGTTATTTTGCTTTATCAAAATTTCTGAATTTATTCACGTAATTTTGACTTAAATCTTGATTTGAAATTTTGACTTTGTCCACATAATTTTGCTTTAATCTAATAATTTTTACTTTATTTGCTTAATTTTAATTTTAATCTCGTAATTTGGATTTTTCCAAAGTATTACATTTTCCAAGTACTACTATTTTAATCTTGTACTGTTAAGACTTTATTCTCAAAACTTTGACTTTATTTTTGTAAATGACCTACTTGTAATATCTTACCAAACAATCTTAGCAAACAAACGAGTTATATATTTTAATAAGCTTTTTACAGCTATGTCACAGTTACTTTAATGTTGTTTGTTCATGTACTGCACCAGGAGCTGGAGCATCAGAGGGGTGTTTTGATGACTGAGGTCCAAGCTGCCAAAAACTCCTGGTTCAGTAAAACACTGGGCTCCCTCAAGAATTCAGCCAGTAACCAGTCACCCTCCTCACCCAAAGAGGGCCAGTAGGACTCGCCAAGGGCTTAACCAACGGGTACAGGAGCGTGACCCTTCCACTTGGCCAAGCAGAGTAGAAAACAAGCTCTAATAAACACTACTAGCAACACAACATGGTAATGCAGTATTCCCTCACATGGACTAATGAACGACTTCCACATGCATTTAACAGTCTGTTATGATTTCCTTAGCTTGTGATGCTGTCTACTGGACAGTAACAGTACTACAGTGATAATTATTACATTTATCAATGTTCATCCAGCTATCCGCTTCTGCAGTGGATTTTTTTGTTAGTAAACAGTCAGTTCTAGCATGTAAGTACATTCTAGTAAGTACATAAACTTTGACCTTTAGCTGCCAATTCAAAGGTTTTTTATTCTCAAAGGGAATACTGCATTCTGCTAACAATAAAAGTAAAAAATTGTTTTGTGTTTCTATATATAAATAATAAATGTAACAGGTTTGTCGTATAAATGTGTATAACTAAATGTCGATTTTTATTTTGATCTTGTACAGTTCTGAAAGAAGTGTTGCATTATTTTTTACGATTTTGAATATGAATGTGCTCTTTATAAATGTCAAATGCCGAAAAGCACAGACAAATTGGCCATGTATCACATGGCATTCCCTCCGTCCGTTTTCGCAGTTTTAAATTGCTGTAGACTGTTTGGGGTTCCGTTTCGCTGTGAGCAGATCACATGATTTATCAGACGACGCAGACCTTGACGTTGTGGCCACACAATATTGACCTCCCAAGTCGCACATACTGCTTGTTTTATGTTATTTAACAGGTATTCATGAGCGCTTGGGTGACAGATGCCATGCGGAAATCAAGAACGTGTCAATATGTCTCTTTTTTGTTCTTTTTTTATTTTTTAGGGAAAGACGTAAACCAGGTCGCACAGATGTATCGTTGAGATCATTGTGACTTTAAAGCCATGTGGAGTCAGTCTGCGTTTCATTTTTTCTTCTGCTATTTGTTAGAATGTCCATATTAATAACTTCCCTTCATGTGTTATTTCACAAAGGGGAGTGAAATAATCTGCATGGCTCTTATTCACACTAACAAGTCGCCATATTGGGAACATGCTTTATTTACACTGATGTAAAAACATGTTTGTTTTTTTTTACTGTGATTTAAAGATGCCAAACTAATTATACAAATTAAGAAAGAGATGTCAGTTTAATATAAACTAATAGTGCTGTCCTGTGGGTTTCTACGGATGGTTACAGGTGTTTTTATCGTAATCTACAGGACAGAAGACATGGCTTCTGTGCATCTGGTTTATTTTCGGTTCATCAGTTTCATTGTTCCATCATGCTGATGTCCTCTGTCTAATAACTATCTTACAGTAAATATCTGGTTCTTGATCCCATGTTTGACTACAAGTCTGATTCATTTGATTCACACCTTTTGTCGTTTCAGTAAACAGTAATGGTAATTAATTTATGTATATTATTATTTCTTTGTTGTTTTGGTAGTTCCGTTATTAACAGCTCGGTTTCACTTACCTTTCTGCTTATATATATATTTTTTTTTTTAATTATATATTTAGGACAGTACAAGGGTAGATAGAAAGGGGTCTTCGAATCGGGACTCGAACTCGGGTCGCCCGAGACGATGCAGCTCCACTTCAAATTTGACTTTACTCTGTAAAAGTGAATGAATGTAGACATACGTTCAGAATAAAGTTATTTTGTGTAAATAAAATGTAATACTATTATTTTATATACACTTTAAATAGAATATTCCCTGCACTGACTACGCATTGGAAATATCAAATATCACAATAGTTGAACACGTACCTCGGGTCAGTTGAGCGTGGTCATAGACATATTATGCCTATGAGCGTGGTAACCAAAAGAATGTGAATACCTTAAGTTCTCTTTTCCTACGAACTATTTGTAAAATGTCCATATTTACTAAAATCACAAGCATGTTAAACGCAGTCCAGTACCTCAGTCAGTCAAATGTGTAATAGCTATTAGCAAACCGTTAACAGTTTCAGTACAAACCTTGTTTCCTAAATGGTCTTCTCATCACCCCAGAAATGTTTTACTGTCATTATTAGTACCACCCACTCACCATTCCATTATTACATTTTAAAGCTGTTTGGTTGCTTAATTATTGACACAATAAGTAACTAACGGATGTGACTATTATTGTTATAAATTAACATCAAATTACTTTATTGGCCATACCCATATTTTTCATATTTTCTACTACATTCTAGTCTCAACTCAAACCACATTACCCAAATCTATGTATATATTGCCCTCCACGTGACCAACATGGTGGTGCCTGGTGGAAGGCAGAAGCTTTATATCCATGAACTGAAGCTTTGTAGAGAAGAGAGTTTCACATTCCCCAGCAAAGCAAATCAGAAGTGAGGGACTCCATGGTACCATCTCTCACTTGCATTTTTTGCCTTGAAGACAAAAAACATGCAAATACAAATATAAACTTGAGCTTCATCCACAAACGGTAAGCTTTTGTGTACTATTATTCTTTTTTTAATGCAGTGTTTATGTGCTCACTGCGTTCATCAAGCTCATTTCTATTGCAGGAAAAAAAGACCAAATAAATATTTTTCTTTAATTTATGAGCAATATAAAGTACAATATACAAGACCAACATTTTCTGAAGGTTACATTCTTTAAGTGACCATTTGTAAAAGACTCACTTTTCCTCTGTTTGTGACTTGTGTGTTTGTTTATTGCTTGTTTGATTCTCTTAAGGCTCAGTTAAGTTCTATTTTTTTGTACTTACATTTCTTTAAAGCTTGCTTTCATTGTTTCTGTGAACTGCCTCTGCACAAAGAGTTATATGAATTGGGTATCAATATGCATTAAAATAACAAACAATTAGAATTTGCATGTAATATTTGATGCTCTTATAATATGCATATGTACCTTTCACAGAGCACTTGCTGTGAAAATGCTTCACTTGTTCTTTGAATGTTAGACCCAAGACAAACCTTCTGTCAAGTTCCTTCATTCCTGTGATACAGGAACATTTTGAGCATTAAAATTGATCAACTGTCAAATTAGAGATGTCTTCGAGTTCGAGGGGGGCAAACCGAGCCGGACGATTTAGTCAGTCGCACTTTTAAACACATTTTAGTTTTCCTATCCACCTTTTTCTTCAATGTGGAAGTAAGCCTATGGGTGAGACTTCCGGTTCATTAGCCGCTAGAGGTAAATAACGAGAAGAATAACAACGTGCAGTAAACGATAAAACTGTTTGCACTACAACCCAGTGTGCTCATAATTAAGATAATACACTAAAATAATATGATAAGACACACCTACTTTCAATATCAAGCAGCAAAACGAACTGTTTTGTTCAGCTAAAAATAGCTGGACGGAGTGGATGCAGATGAGACCGGAAGCCAGACCCATAGAATTTACAAATGGCCGCGCCCATTTTTACCACAAGAAAATGGTGGATAGAAGCTCTACAAATTCATACTCTGATTACATAGAGCAGCAGGAAGCGCGTGAGGTGCACGCGAATTATTATTTAATTATTTAGCCACCGTTTGCCACACTAGACTTAGCAATAAACACGTTGAAAATAATAGACAATAAACATGTCTGTCAAAACGATCTCAAAGGAGGCTTTTATTAAGCAAATCAAGGGGTGAATTACTGTTTAAAAAAATACTTTAGCTGGGTTTCCACTGGCAGGGTCACAATTATCTACAGTGTATGAAGCTAAAGGTTTTTGGGTTAAGGTTCATAATGTAGAACATTTTTAACATTGTATGCTGTATGTGCATAGGTAGCTAGCAAACAAGGAATACAGCTGTTAAGCTAATAGTCACATTTAGCTGAGTAAGATCATGACTGAGAAATGTTGGATACTGCTGGAAATGCTGGTGTTATGGGGTATCCTATTTATTATTTTAGGATTTTTTTGTTTGCCCCAGTGAAGCATTTCTATTAATATAACTGATTAAGTAGTCAAACTCATTCCATATCAGCAGAATAGTGTGGTACAGAAAGTCTGTGTCCATAAAACAGCTTCTGAATGAATTATGTTACTGATAGCTAATGGTCAAAAGCAATAGCAAAAGTAATATTATATTAATATTATTAAATTGCAGACAAAAGATTTTTGAAATAGCTAGGCTGGCTTGTACACTATATTGCCAAAAGTATTGGGACACCCCCTTCTAATGAACAGGTTTGACTACTTTAGTAATTTCTAATTTTTTGTAAAAAAAAAAGCATATAATGTTATTCTAGGGAATTGTGTGCTTCTAATTTTATACCAATAGTTTGAACAGGACCATTTTCTATTCTAACACAACAATGCCTCTCTGTATAAGGCAAGGTTAAAAAAAAAGATTGATTCAGTCAGTTTTGAAGAACTTGACTGGTCTGCAGAAAGCCAAGTCCTAATCCCAGCTGAACACCTCTGGTGTGACTTTAAATGCAGACCTTGAGCCAAAAACTCATCACCAAACACCAATGACTTGTACATATCATGTATTTAAAAATTGTATTTCCATCTTTGTTGCCACACTTTGGGAAGTGTCTAAAATGATTGTACGCATATGTACAAGTCATTGGTGTTTGGCGATGAGTTTTATTGAGTTTTCCCAATACTTTGGGCAATATAGTGTATGTTTGGTGCGGTAGGGGGCCCAACCTCATATTCTTTCATAGGGCTCAAAATTGCTAGCAGCACCCTGCTCCAGGGTGATACAGTTCAAGAGCCAAATAACACATTTTCATGATATTTAATTGCAGAATTGATTTTAATAATGTTTACTTTTAAATGTAAGGAATATCTAATTCCAAAATTGATTTTTCCCATGGAAAGGTCTGCATTTCTTTTAGAACAGTGTGACAGTTCTAATTTGTAGTATTGATCTTACTGCATTTTCGCAATAAAGCCACAATAAATAAATGCAATATAAGTAATACACCAATTTTCTGGCTTAAGATACATTATCATGCAGAGATGGAAGCTAAGCCACCTATATCCTATTCAAAGACAATGTAATATTATGGACGCATCTCAGCAAAGCATTTTAAAAAACATTGCCCTCCACATGACCAGCATCATCCAGATAGTCGTCTGCGAAGTTAAGCATCTGCTGTAGAGCGGTGAGCAGCAGGACGTCACAGTTGAGCTCCAGCTCCAGCTCCTGACTGTAGTTCTTCACCGGTAACACACAAGACACCGGCACACCCAACCGAGAGCTCACCTCCTGCACCTGCAGACACAAAACAACACCTCACTCACTCCGAGTCCTGTAGCAACAGACCATCTGATCATGTGACCGCGTCTCACCTTCGACTTGATGTAGGAACTGACATAAAGACTTTGAAGATTTTCCTCCACTCGAGGACATGCTTCATCTACTTTTGTCATCAAGACGATCTGAGCGATGCCTGAAATTACACATTTTTAGGTAAGTTGTGTGCAACTCTATCAGGTAGATCAATGTACAGCCTACTTAGTAGTCATAAGGTGTATGTTCACTCACCCAGTGAGTTCACTTTTCTGCGTATGGAAGCAAGTTTTTCCTGTAGTTTGTCAGACATGAGGGAGATTTTGGTGGCGTCTATCACATACACCACACAGTGGATCTTCTCCTGAAGAGATGCAGGTCTGGAGGCCTTTTGCTCATCAGGTTGAAACGGTGCTGTGGTGTTAAACTAAATAGAGGGGATTTAGCATGAAGCAAACCATTTCTACTTCAACCTTCATTCATTTTGGAGATGAGTGCTCTTACTTTATAGCGGTCTGATATGTGACCTTGAATAATGCTGCTGATGTCCTCAATATCCAGTCCTGCACCTGATTGCTCCTCGAGTCCCATGGTGTCACACAACACAAATGGCAACGGCTTTCCTCCACGACCGTCTTTCACTGGATATGTGCGAAACTACCAACCAAGAAGAGAATCACATCAAGATCTGAAGTCCTCAAGAGACATTCCTTGATTTCTAATAGAAAATACAATAATTGTATTGAATCTCTACCTGTGTGGTGAGACTAGTGCCTGCAGATCCTGACATGGCTTTGCTAGTCATTCGACCCATGAAGATGGAGTTGATGGAGTTGAAGAAACTGGATTTTCCAGCACCTACAGGACCGATCATTAGGATTCTGACCCGACTCACAGACGTCACTAGGGGTTTATATTTCCTGATTATTTCCATGAGCTCTGCTCTTCGTCTACAAAAGAGTAGATCAAACTTAATCAAACTTAAACTGTATCTCATTACTGAATGAATTCAGCAACAGGAAAACATACTCAGCTGTCCACAGAACATTCCTCCACAGCTTCTCTGCACTGACCTGAGGCTCTAACAGAGTACTTTCTGTTTGAGTAAACAATTGACATTACATTAGTAATTATTGAAAGCGACTGGAGTTATAATATATGTTTACTGTACATAATTGTATTCTTCTGATAATTGACTTACTCTCTTCCACTTTGTACACCTCACATTCACTCAGCCGAGTGTCATCCCCATATAGTTTGGCAGCACTAAAACCAAATGCATTACCCCTTGCACCAAAAGATAAAGGTGCTTCTTGATTGTACACACGTGGTTGATTGTTGTAGCAAAAGTACAACTGTTGGCCAAAGTTGGGCCCTCCAACATCATCATAGCGTGCATAATGTACACAGCTAACGTCAATGCAGAGAGGAGCTCCACCATGAAAGCTGAACAGGAAAGCCTCCTCATCTGTAATATTCTGCATACTTTGAGAATAATCTACACTAGTGTATCCACCAAAAGTGTAGCCTGAACGGTTGTAGGCTACAAGTAAAGTGGGACCCTGACGGTCACATCGCTGGTGGAAGGCAGAAGCTTGATATCCATGAACTGAAGCTTTGTAGAGAAGAGACAGTTTCACATTCCCTAGTGAGGCACAGAGCTGTTCTCTTTGCTCTTCTGTTAATTTAGAAGTGAGTGGAGCGTTGCGAGTGCTGGATGCCCCGAAAGTTGAATACATCTAAACAAGAAAATGAATATGTCATTTGAATTCTGTAGCAGACACACCTAGACAGACACGAGCATATGGCAAGCCGTTTTAACTTAAAATACTCCGAGCGTTACTCATCATAATTGCATTTTTACAAGTAACAATTCAGTTAGAGAGCTCTACAATTAAATTCTTACTAGTAACAATGCCAATTACAGAGCTCTCTAATTCAGTTCTTACTAGTAACAATTATAATTAGAGAGCTCTACAAATGAATTTTACTAGTCATATGTCTCCATTGACTTCCATTCATTTTTAATTACAGAGCTCTACAACAGAATTTTTACTAGTAAGAATTCCAATTAGAGAGCTCTACAATTGAATTCGTACTAGTAACAATTCCAATTAGAGAGCTCTACAATTGAATTCGTACTAGTAACAATTCCAATTAGAGAGCTCTCTAAATTAATTTTTACTAGTAATAATTATGATTAGAGAGCTCTCTAATTTAACTCTTACTAGTAAAAGGGCAATTACAGAGCTATATAACTCAATTTTTACTATAGTAAAAAACTACATTAAAGATATGTTTAATTGCAGAGCTCTGTAATTGAGTTAGAGCTCTCTAAATCAGTTCTTACTAGTAACAACTGAATTAGAGAGCTCTCTAAATGGAATTCTTCCTAGTAAAAACTGAATTAGAGAGCTCTCTAATTCAGTTGTTACTAGTAAGAACTGCATTAAAGAGCTCTCTATTTCAATTGTTACTAGTAAGAATGTAATTACAGAGCTCTTTAATTCAGTTAAAGAGCTCTCTAATTGAATTGTTACTAGTAAAAATGCAATTATGATGAGTAACGCTGGAAATATTTTAAGCTGAAACGGCTTGCCATACGAGCAGTCAGATTACTTGTTTTCTGAAAGCCATACACGAACTAACTGAAACTAGGGCTGTGAATCTTTGGGTAGACAGCGAATCGATTCGATTCATGATTCATAGGTTTTCGATTTGATTCAAGAACGATTTTTGCAAATTCAGAACGATTCAATTCGATTCAATCCACAATTAAATTCGATTCGATTAACGATTCGATTCCGCATTCTTTTAGTGCATTCACAGAATTTTTTTAATTCTTCCCCTAAATTCTTTGAATGCTTAGTCAGGGGGCAAATTACACAGCAGCCTTTATGGTTACAGAACCATAGGTTAGAGGGGAAAAAACACTTTTGTCCATTGTTAGACGCTAGTTTAATGATGCTATGGCATGTGTGGAAATTTATGTAAGCCAAGATTTTAAAAAAGAGCTTTAAAAGTATTATGTATAGGCTAACATTTTGTCACACCAGGGGTGTAGCCATCATTTCAGAAGTGACAGAGGTCAAATACAATCATTTTATGCATGTATGTATTTTATTTATTTTTTTACAAGGAATTTCTTATCTCTTACTTTGAATTTGCTATAAGAAATCAAATACACAGCTGGACAATAATCAATCATTCGTAATCTATAATTTTTTCCTAATGGCAATTTTATGATTGTTTTATATACTACAAACAATTATTACAATTTTCTGACAGAAAAGTATAACTACTTCACTTTAGCATTACTGGCCACGAGTACTAAGGAGAGATCACACATCAGCTGCTCAAAAAACACTGTTCAAGGTCTCCATTAATTCGTGCTTGTAGTCATTTAATGTGTATATTATATATTTTGAAAGCATGGAATTCTCTACATGGAATTCCCCTAACTGAAACTCAGCCGGAATCGAAACTGAAACTAAAGCAAGATCTGCTCCAAGAAAATATAGACTATAGTAGGCTATTATTTATTGTTTGTGCACATTTGTTTTTACTTTTATAAATTTCATAACGACCTTACCTTTGCCTTTCGCATTCCCCTTTCTCTGAAGAAATGATGAAACTACTGATCTTATATAGATCAGTGGATGAAACGCTTCTTTAGTGGCTATTTTACATCCACAGGCGAAGGCGTAACGTTAAGCTCTCTGTTCCCTCCAATCAAAGGACACAGCCTCGTAAACGAAACTCTTCGCTCTAGGCGATAATATTTTTATGTTGTAGCTGTTTGAAACTTATCGTTGACCTTTTCACGTTATATATAGTTGTATAGTTATAGTAACGAGGAATTGAAAATGAATAGGCTATACTGTACACCTAAAATAACGGGACGCGGATGACAACAGAAGAATTCGCATAATTTAGCAGATTTGAGCAAAATAGAGCATAAAGTGACAGTATCCTGAAAATCACAACTAAATGAAGAATTTACAATCCTTTAATATACATCAGGATAGAAGCACAAGTGTAAAAAGTACAGAGAAATTACACACATTGAGTGAAAGTTTATAAAATGTGTACTGACTTAACTATATACTTAATATTTAAAAATAAGAAGTAAACGTAGTTTAGTAGACCAAAATATGAAATTGATCGTCATTTGCGATGAAATTAAACACAAATGACAGAGAATGACCAGTGTGTGATTAAGTTACAAAAATGATTCAAAGAGTTTTTAATTTGACCTTTTCTGAATCTGTCAGCCGCAAGAACTGTAAAAAAATTATTTAGGGTTGCCCTCAACAGGACGTATATCATCAAAATAGTCATCTGCAAAGCGAAGCATCTGCTGTAGAGCGGTGAGCAGCAGGACGTCACAGTTGAGCTCCAGCTCCAGCTCCTGACTGTAGTTCTTCACCGGTAACACACAAGACACCGGCACACCCAACCGAGAGCTCACCTCCTGCACCTGCAGACACAAAACAACACCTCACTCACTCCGAGTCCTGTAGCAACAGACCATCTGATCATGTGACCGCGTCTCACCTTCGACTTGATGTAGGAACTGACATAAAGACTTTGAAGATTTTCCTCCACTCGAGGACATGCTTCATCTACTTTTGTCATCAAGACGATCTGAGCGATGCCTGAAATTGTTGAGGTACGTTTTAAGGTGCGTCACATGTAGCTCTATGTACAACCTACTTTGTATTAGTCACAAGATTGGTGTAACTATGTTCACTCACCCAGTGAGTTCACTTTTCTGCGTATGGAAGCAAGTTTTTCCTGTAGTTTGTCAGACATGAGGGAGATTTTGGTGGCGTCTATCACATACACCACACAGTGGATCTTCTCCTGAAGAGATGCAGGTCTGGAGGCCTTTTGCTCATCAGGTTGAAACGGTGCCATGGGGTTGAACTGGATTGAGAATAATTGAAATTAAAGATACATTTTATTGATATACATTTGCAAGCCAAAAACATCAACCTATGCACTTACTTTATAGCGGTCTGGTACGTGACCTTGAAGAATGCTGCTGATGTCCTCAATATCCAGTCCTGCACCTGATTGCTCCTCGAGTCCCATGGTGTCACACAACACAAATGGCAACGGCTTTCCCTCACGACCGTCATTCACTGGATATGTGCGAAACTACAAACAAACAAGAATCTTTGTGGAACAATTGTTTTATATTACAAACTGAAGCAAGTCCTGAAGTTCTGCCTAATCTGTACCTGCACAGTTAGACTAGTGCCTGCGGATCCTGACATGGCTTTACTAGTCACATGACCAGTGAAGATAGAGTTGATGGAGTTGAAGAAACTGGATTTTCCAGCACCTACAGGACCGATCATTAGGATTCGGACCCGACTCACAGATGTCATCAGGGGTTTATGGTTCCTGATAATTTCCACGAGCTCGTCTCTTCGACTACAAAGCAGAATCAGACTTTATATCAGATTGTTCTATTACATTAGCAAAAGAGAAATAACAAAAACAGGAAATAGTGGAAACACACTCAGCTGTCCACGGAACATTTCTCCACGGTTTCTCCTCTGCAATGACCTGACCTGAGTGTATTAAAAAAAAACACATTTGCTATATTGTTTGATATAGTTTGACATTCTTTATATTGTTTGACTGTGTGTAAAATACATGAAGTGGTGAATACTTCCTGATTGTTGACTTACTCTCTTCTAATTTGTACACCTCACATTCAGTCAGCTGAGTGTCATTTCCATACAGTGTTGCAGATTTAAAACTGAATGCTTTATTACTACAATCTCCGTCATAGTATTCGTTCCTTTCTTGACTATACACAGCTGGCTGGTTGTTATAGCAAAAGTACAGCTGTTGGCCAAAGTTTGGCCCTTTAGTATCATCATAACGTGCGTTACATCCACTATTAACTTTGATGCAAATGGGGATCTTGCCATGGACACTGAACAGGAAAGCCTCCTTATCAGTAATATACTGCCCACATTGAGAATAATCTACACTAGTGTATCCACCAAAGATGTAGCCTGATCGGTTGTAGGCTACAAGTAAAGTGGGACCCTGACGGTCACATCGCTGGTGGAAGGCAGAAGCTTGATATCCATGAACTGAAGCTTTGTAGAGAAGAGACAGTTCCACATTCCCCAGTAAGCCACAGAGCTTTTTCCTTTTCTCTTCTGTTAAATCAGAAGTGATGCTGACTTCTCCAACTTTTGATTTTTGCATCTGTGCCAAAAAAAATGTTTACAAAGTAAAAACTGAAACTGAAACACACCTTCTTCTGTGTCCACAGCACAACACAGTGAGTGAGTAAACAATGACAAAATGTTAATTTTTGGGTGAACTAACACTATTATTTTTCAAACTGTTTTAAACATATTGTAAAAATGATTGATTTCATTTACAAATGTGAATTTCTGAACCATGTATAAAGACTAAGTTTTCTTTTAGGGTTAATCCATATGACTAAGAAGTGATTTTTAAAAAACCATCCAACAATAAAAAATAAAAAAAATGCTAAAAAAATATTTTTCACGTTCCATAACTAGTGTTGACACTATAGCCTATACACACGCATTCATGGGAGAAATTGAAACTAAAACTAAAAAGTTCAAATAAAAATACATAAAGTTTGATTCAATCCCAGGTCGTTTAACAGTAGGCCTACAGTTTTGCTTCGGATAAATAACTTTATCCTTTAAGTGGAAGCACGTTTATTAAATATCACTTGCTAGTTGCCGTCTATAAAATACTTAGGAATATTTAAATATAGTAGCATAAGCATAGCCTATATTTACCCTTGTAGGCCTACTTCAGTTTTGTACACGCATATACTTTTTCAGAGTCTCTTACGTTTCGCAGGTAAAACACTCGTTCTTTGCAGGAAAACTGAAATGCTTCCTCTTGTGAACTTCGAACTTTTGTGAACTTTGAAGTGCACTCATTTGCAATCACTGAAAGATTTGCCGGAAGTTTGCCTTTCAATTCTTATCACCCGACGACTATGGCAAGCCGTTTTAGCTTAAAATAATCCCAGTGTTAGTCGTAACTGCATTTTTACTAGTAACAATTCAATTAGAGAGCTCTACAATTAAATTCTTACTAGTAACAATGCCAGTTAGAGAGCTCTCTAATTCAGTTCTTACTAGTAACAATTATGATTAGAGAGCTCTACAAATAAATTTTTACTAGTCATATGTCTCCATTGACTTCCATTCATTTATAATTACAGAGCTCTACCTCAGAATTCTACTAGTAATTACTAGTAAGAATTCCAGTTAGAGAGCTCTACAATTGAATTCTTACTAGTAAGAATTCCAATTAGAGAGCTCTCTAAATACATTTTTACTAGTAATAATTCCATTTAGAGAGCTCTCTAAATAAATTTTTACTAGTAACATTTCCGATTAGAGAGCTCTCTAATTTAATTATTACTAGTAAAAATACAATTACAGTGCTCTATAATTCAATTTTTACTAGTAAAAAAACACATTAAAGATATGTTTAATTGCAGAGATCTGTAATTGAATTAAAGAGCTCTCTAATTCAGTTCTTACTAGTAACAATTGAATTAGAAAGCTCTCTAAATGGAATTATTACTAGTAAAAACTGAATTAGAGAGCTCTTTAATTAGAATTCTTACTAGTAAAAACTGAATTAGAGAGCTCTCTAATTCAGTTGTTACTAGTAACAATTAAATTAGAGAGCTCTCTAATTGTAATTTTTACTAGTAAGGATTGAACTGCAGAGCTCTCAAATTGAATTGTTACTAGTAAGAATGTAATTGCAGAGCTCTCTAATTCAGTTGGAGAGCTCTATAATTCAATTGTTACTAGTAAGAACTGAATTAGAGAGCTCTCTAATTGTAATCCTTACTAGTAAGAATTGAATGATAGAGCGCTCTAATTAATTGTTACTAGTAAGAATGCAATTGCAGAGCTCTCTAATTCAATTACAGAGCTCTCTAATTTAATTGTTACTAGTAACAACTGAATTAGAGAGCTCTCTAATTGTAATCCTTACTAGTAAGAATTGAATGATAGAGCGCTCTAATTAATTGTTACTAGTAAGAATGCAATTGCAGAGCTCTCTAATTCAATTACAGAGCTCTCTAATTTAATTGTTACTAGTAACAACTGAATTAGAGAGCTCTCTAATTGTAATCCTTACTAGTAAGAATTGAATGATAGAGCGCTCTAATTAATTGTTACTAGTAAGAATGCAATTGCAGAGCTCTCTAATTCAATTACAGAGCTCTCTAATTTAATTGTTACTAGTAAGAATTGTATTAGAGAGCTCTCTAACTGTAATTGTTACTAGTAAGAATGTAGCTGTAGAGCTGTGGAATTGCATTCTATGGCAAGCCGTTTTAGCTTAAAATGTCCCCAGCGTTACTCGTCGTAATTGCATTTTTACTAGTAACAATTCAATTAAAGATCTCTACAATTAAATTCTTACTAGTAACAATGCCAGTTAGAGAGCTCTCTAAATCAATTCTCACTAGAAACAATTATAATTAGAGAGCTCAGCAATTGCATTCTTACTAGTAAGATCTCTCTAATTCAGTTCTTACTAGTATGAATTAAATTAGAGAGCTCTACAATTAAATTCTTACTAGTAAGAATTACAATTACAGAGCTCTTTAATGCAGTTTTTACTAGTAACAACTGAATTAAAGAGCTCTCTAATTGAATTAGAGAGCTCTGCAATTGCATTGTTACTAGTAAGAATTAAATTAGAGAGCTCTACAATTCAATTATTACTAGTAACAATACCAATTAGAGAGCTCTCTAATTCAGTGCTTACTAGTAAAAATGTAATTACAGAGCTCTCTAATTAAATTCTTACTAGTAAGAAATCTAGTTACAGAGCTCTACAATTGTATTCTTACTAGTAAAAACTTGTATTCATTAGATGCAAAACAGATTTGCAACTACACCCATTTCCCTTTCCAATTCCCGCCTGTGGTGATACACTTCAAAATAAAAACCCCATAAGCATGAATTGATAGCATTGTCATTGCGTCAGAATGACCATAAGAGTGAGATGACAGTTTGCAAAGGTTTTGTTTTAATATTTAATCACTTCATTAATTCACACCTTTATATTATTATTAATATTATTAATATTGTTATTTCTTTATTTCAGACCCTTAGGTCCATATCACAAAAAATAAAATAAAGAGTAGCCTATAGTCTTGATAATACTCTACCAGACAATTTTTTTTGTCATTTTGGTGTTTATTATGCACTGTAACGTGCATGCAGAATTTGAGCTAGTACATATTATAGGCTAATTAATAGGTTAATTGTCACTCTT